CCAAAAGTCATCAGCATTTTCAGAAGTGATCCAGGCCAAAGCAACCCTTCAACAAAAGATCACAACACCCATAAGCCCCAAATCAAAAGTGCATACATCCAGGAAATGCCCAGATCGAAGGTGCCTACATCCAGGAAGCGCCCAAATTAAAAGTCCAATCTGCTGGTAAGAAAGGGTAAACTATCCAACCTCATATTTGCATAATACATCCATACTGGTTGTTACCTTCGATTTTCCATCCTAGACAGGATCAAGAGGCCTGAGTTTGGCACCCAGGCCATGTCCATCATTTGCTAATATTTGCTGCAGACATAGCCTGAAGAGACCCAGCAAGCGCAGGATCGAAGGGCCTGGGGTTCAATACCCAGGCCCTGCATTTTATTATGCTAACATACTTTTACAGGTATAACATCCCAGATCGAAGCAGACACCTTCTCTGGATCGAACCCATTAGCATGCTGGATCAAAGGAGGCTTCTCATTCCTGGATCGAAAGCCATGACATCCATGATCAAAATACAATCCTCTTCCCTAGATCGAAGGCTACTCACGCCTTGCTATCTGGCCCAATCGAAAGGACCATGACCCTCTCTGGATCGAAGCTTCCATCCCCTCCCTGGGTCGAAACTCCCTTTTTTTCCCTGGATCGAAGGATCCCCCCTTGTATTTTATTTTTGTTTTCATTGACATCTTTTTATCTTTTTTAATTAACATTAAAATAAGAAAACCACAAAAACATTAGGCTAGTTTTTTTTCCTATTAAATTAACTTTGTCAATTAATCTTTTAATTATCTTAACATTTTCTCAAAAAAAAAAACTAAAATTAAGTAGATTTAGATCATTTTCCCAAAATAAAATAAAACAACAAAAAGATTTTATTCTTAGGATTTTTAGAGGTTATGTTCAGATTCACGCGCGTTTATTTTATTGTAACTGCTTATTGGTTTGTAATAGCTTAACTAAGACTTTTACTTTACTGCTTTATTCCCCAATTTTTGGGACATGTAAATAATCCCCCTCCCCGAAGCCTTGTAATAGCGTAGGATTTACAATTCCCGCACTTTAAATTCATGTACATATATTAACTGCTTAAATGTATGCTAACTAGGCTATGCATGACAAGATTAACTCTTAACTTAAAATCAACAGTAGCTCACTATGACATGCAAGAATAATATAACTGGAAATTGACACACTTACACATGCCACTCCTAGGGTACACTTCACTTGGTTGCCTCGAACGTGGTCATTGAGTATAGGAAGTCTTAGAGGTCTCCCTCCTGTCCAAAGATCAAAGTTGCCTCGATAAAAATGATCTAAGATATTAGGGTTACCGCTAAAGCATCCTAACATTGCTTTAGTGACCACACGTCCCTTAAATCGAATTGACCCGAAAACTCCAACGACGGTGCTACCTACTCCTCAATAGTGGGATAGCACTGTCTAAAGGACATTTGCACAATTTAATTCCTTTTTGAGTAGATAGAGGTTCTTAAGTACTTGCTCTTTTGAAAACAAAAACAAACTTTTCGCACTTACACTCTCTTCAAAAACAAAACTCTTTTCAAAACCCACAATCACAAAGAAAAGCAAACTTTTGAAAACATAGTGAGCAAGTACCTAAGAGTCCGTGGATAACCACGGATAGAAAGGGTGCTGACACCTTCCCTTTCTATAATCTACCTCCAAAACCCGAGAAACATCTCGAAAAGGAATTTTTCTGTGCTTTTGTCCTTTCCTTGTTGGATAAAATAAAAGACGGTGGAGACTCTTGATTACCACGACACTTTGCAAAAACAAACGCAAACGCGAACCAGCATTCCAAAAACAGTCAGTTCTCATTCCCACCGATCACAATATGGCTTATCATGCTAACTTTGCAGAATTTAATCCATTCCTTTCCAACCATCCTTATACTGCTCAAAGGGTTTCGACACTTGGTGAAAATAATTTTACTCAAAGAACATATTCGACACCACTTTCCTCAGTCAGCATTTGGCAAAAGCTTTTGCATCTATGCGGGATTTGAGACAGAAAGGTAAGCACATACATATCAAGGAAATCCAGGCGTTCCACAAGTATTTCGAAACTGTCTATGATCTAACTAACCTTAGTCGAACCACTTTTGATGCAACAAAAAATTTAAAAGAGAAATTTACTAAAAAGCTTCCTCATTTAAGCATCCATGCTTGTGTCAAACCTGAAGACAAATATGACTTAGCCTTCAATCCTCAACCACCAAAATTCCCAAAATTGCCTGGCGCTGATTTTGGCCTGGCCTTTTATCCTCCTTATCCAAACCGATTCGTTTGTGGGAATTATCTTAACTTTTTAAAATAAGAGTCTCAAAAACCTGATAAACAAGTGGTTTCGACTAAGTATACCTTGGACAGTTTCAAAGGTTTCCTTCATTATGACTTATAAGCTATCTCCATTCTTTCTCCGACACGTGAAGGTGTGGAACTAAAGGATTTCCATGGTCCTTTCGATTGCCTTTTGTTATTTCTTTTGTACCTGATACTAACCAGTGTTGTCATGTATATTGTTCTAGCTGTAAAAAAGAAAACCATCAAAAAAGAACAACCCATCTCGAAGACAGGTTCCACTGAAGCTTCAAAACAAACCAAAACTTTAACCAAAAGAGCTACTCCAGATACCAAAAAATTGAAAATAACAAAGGTATCATTCGATATTTTGTTTGCTTCTTGCACTATATCACTTTTCTAATAACAATAATTTTATAAGGCTAGTCATTTACCTCTAAAATCTCCACACAAAAGAAAATCCACCCATGATATTTCAGTGGTGGTTGAAGATGATGAAGACACTCCTCCCACTCATTCACATACTAAGAAAATAAAGAAGAAGAAGGCGAAAACTCCTGATGCAGCCTCTTTGCAGCCATCCAAGCAAAAACCTGAGCTCACTATACTGCCCCCCAAAACCTAAAGAGAAAAGTATGTCCCAACCATTTGAGGGCATTATATTGGAGAGGATCGAAAGTGACAACTCAAGCCCTGATGGACTAAAGGTATAGATTTTATTATTATTCTTCTTCAATAACCATTGTTCTTTTATTCAAACTCATGATTTCTTTTATTTCGCAGGACACTGGTACTTTGAGTAATTTAGAGTAATTTGTACAAAGATGTCAACACACGAATCCTATTTCTAAGACTTCTATTTATACTAATTCGATCCTAACAGTCTATTACTGAAACAACACCACATTCATTATTGCATGTTCTTCGACTCTCTTGAGGCCTCCACGCGTCTTTTTAGATAAGATCAAACTTTCAAATTTAAAAACCTTCTTGTCTTTGAAGCGCCAAATAATATAGATGTGACGGTCGAAGTATCTATTCTAATAATACTTCAAATAAATCAAGTTCCAGTGATTCACAAACAAACCTTTCGTCAACATTTAGCAAAATAAAATTCTTACTAGCTTTTTATTTATCGAAATCTCCATAAGATCTCCTGCATGCTTCCTTTCGAACTAACTTTCTTACAAGATGTATCATTTCATCTCAACATTCATACAATCAAAATTCCCAGTTAACAGTAAGTGAGTAAGATAAGTGAATAAAATTTGAAATTTAATCGTACTAGGAAAATGATACGACTCTCATTTATATAATAAAGTGGTTACAATAACTTGTTTATCATCAAGTGTAGGATGTTGGAAGCCATTGAATGAATTCTAAACTCAGATAGTCTGCAAACTAACTTAAGATAACACTCCTATCCAGTGAGTGAATTAATGAATTATTATATTCTTTGAACCACGACGTTTATTCATTTGACTGGCTGAAAAGAATTTGTAAGAATAATTATGTAAAATTCACACAATTTTACAAAATTATTATAACTATTACTTTTAGGGTTAATAGCTATTTCGCCATCTGTCATATGGACGAGTTTTAAAAAACCTCCTATAAAAAAATTTGGATTCGCCCTGTAACATATGAAGATTCCCCTGTTTTAGCCCCTCAAAAAATTCAATCATTAGAAAAAATGACATGGCAAACATTTTTTTTATTTTCTAATTTATTTTAGTGACATGACATATCTAATTGTCTTTTATATTAATTATTTTTTAAATGCCACATGACTTTTATTTTTTGTCATTATTTAAATTTGAAATTTTAAATAATGACTAAATATATTATTTATTTAATGAATTTAAAAAACTTTTTATTATTTATAAATGTGTCCAAAGAATATAAATAATCTAAAATTTTCTAAATAATAGGAATCAAATACATGTTGATACACTTAATAGCTTGCCACATTACCAATGGAGTATATTACTTCTTTTGATATGTTATCTCACAAAATTTATATATTATTTCTTATGATTTTGAGAGACTTGTTTATGCATAAATTTTAACCATGAACTTTCTCTTTTAAAAAATATCAATCCGATTGAACAAAATCAAATTAATCTATTATTATTAAATTTAATTTAACTTTTATTAAATAATTAATATATTTAATTAATTTATAGATTAGATACATTGACTATTCAATAAATCTAAAAAATAATTTATTTATTATAAATAAAAATAAAGGTAGTATTTTTTATTAGTTCAAATTATTTTATTTTAATTAAAATAAATTATAGTAGCCTAAAAATATATAAATGTTAAAATAAGGAACCGTTTATACAAAAATAGAAAAAAAATAGAAAAATCGCAAAGACAGAAGATACGTGCTTCAACTCGAGCTCCTACTATTTGCTCACCAAACTCGTGATCCACAACTACTTGGCGCAGAACACGATAAATAAAATCTCAGCCGTTAATCAACCAAAATTAATCAACGAACATAAAACAAAACACGTCACTGATCCGCGTGAAACACAATCCTCCAACCAGACTCAGTTTCTCATTCCTATATATTCCATCTCTAATTTCATTCACCTTCATCATTTCACCCTCATACTCAATCAATCTTACCCATTCTTCAATCCACCGGAAAACTCTCAAATCCGATCCATGGCTCCCGCAAAGGCAGAGAAGAAGCCCGCAGAGAAGAAGCCAGCCGAGAAAGCGCCCGCCGAGAAAAAGCCAAAGGCCGAGAAGAAGATCTCGAAGGAAGGAGGGAGCGACAAGAAGAAGAAGCGCGTGAAGAAGAGCGTTGAGACCTACAAGATTTACATCTTTAAGGTTCTGAAACAGGTTCATCCTGATATCGGTATTTCAAGCAAAGCTATGGGGATTATGAACAGTTTCATCAATGATATCTTTGAGAAACTCGCTCAGGAAGCTTCCAGATTGGCTCGGTACAACAAGAAACCTACCATTACTTCACGGGAGATTCAAACGGCGGTGCGTTTGGTTCTTCCTGGTGAATTGGCTAAGCACGCTGTTTCTGAAGGAACTAAGGCCGTTACCAAATTTACCAGTTCTTAGATTTGATTTTTAGGTTTGTTTTTTCACAGATCTAGATTTTTCTTGAGTTTCGGATGTAGATTTGGTGTTCTGAATAGCTATAATTAAGCGTTTTAATTGAATAAATCATCTTTTATTTCTATTGTTAGTTTACATAAAAATGATCGCATCTTTTATAATTTTCAGAAATTCACTTAAATTTCTTTAATTATATTTAGATATGTATATCCATTTGAGATCGGCTAAGCATTACACCTAAATATCAATTTCAACATCTCCTGCAGAAATTTGATCATTTATGCATTTCCTCGAACTTAATGGTAACTTTATATTGATCTTGCTGGAATGAAATGTTTTTTTTTTATAGATACGTTAGTGTGATAAAGATTGTGTGTAAAATCTATTTACATTCTGAATTTCTGACTCTGTTATCTTTATAAAATTACCGATTCAAGAATTTTAGATGCTGCGTTTTGGCTGTACCTTTCAATTTGCAGATAATGAAGGCCATATTCATTGCTAAATGAGATCCAATACAATAAGGATTGTTTCACTCTAGAACCGATCACATCCAAAGCTTTATATTACTGCTTATCTTTCTGCGAAGGTGTGAATGCCAATTCTGTTAGTGTATACAAATGAATGTTAAATTTCATAATTTACATTAATAGGTGAAACATGAATTCACTATACACGAATGAATTGTGACCGAAAACTAAGAATAATAAGCAATTGCAAAGTTTTTAACATGAACATTTACAAAGTAGCAAGCACATTTCTATTTGGAAATTTGCTCAACTGCACTTCTAGCCACGTTCAGAAATTGCCTAAATTGAAGACATATTCACTCACGCTTGGAATTTTGATATTACTAGCCACTTTCAGAAATTACCTCAAGTGCAGATTAGGGTCTTCATTTGAAGAACCAGAGTATTGCCCAGTTGTTTGCAGCATTTGGAACATTATAGGTTCGAACTCAAACAGTGCTGTTGTGATTTTTGGCAATGCCAGTACTCATAGTGTTAGGATTAAAAACAACATATTCCCTTATGTTATAGACTCTATCATTGGTAATATTGATAATGTCGTTATCAACCAAGACAAGGATTGCCTCTTTCTCGTCTGAATCTACTGGTGGTTGTATTTGTATCTTCTCTCCAAAATCAGCTAGATTAGCTGCAAGTGGAACTCTTGGTGCAATTCCAAGTCTATTTCTCCTTAGGGCTCTGAGTGCTCTTTCAGGTTCAGTATATTTGTACCTCCTCTCCAAAATCAGCTAGATTAGCTGCAAGAGGAACTCTTGGTGTAATTCCAAGTCTATTTCTCCTTAGGACTCTGAGTGCTCTTTCAGGTTCAGTATATCCACGGTAAATTGGACACAACGATCTGTGCATACAATATTGACAATACCTATCGTGACACCAGACTACAACAAAATGTCAAAAAAACTCAAATGCTTAAACTAATACAATAGAAATAAATACAAAATAAAAAATGTAACAAATTACTCCCCGACAACGACGCCAAAAATTTATTGGTCTAATTCACAAAATTATGTTAAAGCTTAGAATGTCACATGTAAGTATACATGTTTTGATTACAACAAGTAATAAGTATAAGAGTATGGTAGCCACAGAAAGTAAATGCTACTTAGATTTGACTTTGTAAAAACTCTATTCTTCCAAATTAAGTATGAGTGAAGAAATAATAATATTGGTGGTAACTATTTCAGTGTTTCTTAAATCAAGACTACAAAATAGTGTGGAATGGAGTGATAGTATAATAAGAGTGATTGTGTTGAGCATAGATCCATTAATATCATTTGTACATTTATGTGTTAATACTGTGTGGAATCGTGACAGGCAAGGTCATAATGATCTTGTTGTGTATTTCTACAACATTCAGAACATACATACAAAAGCAAGAGAACAAATCTCTAAGCCTCACTTATAATTCAAATATACGTCTTTTAGTAAATTCCGAATTCCTTAATGGTTGCAGTTTCTTATCTCTAAGTAAACTAGGTCAAGTGAATATATCTTCCTACTTTTTCAACCATTTTTACTCATGAAATACACTTGTTGTTGGATATCTCTTCACACCAAGCTTTTACCTATTTATAAGTTGATCAATCAAAGAAGCGAGTTTTTGACAAATAAATACATGGTAAAACAAGCAGCAATCACATAACATATAACATAAACACACTTTAATATTAACTTCACGTAGCTCAACTACAAAGGTTTTAACTCATGGTGAGTTGAGTACAAACAACAAGCAAGGTTCTTACAATAAACATCTCAAGACAAATGAATGCCAGAGGATATAAACCTAAGGGAAGACTTGAGGGACTCCTTGGGATGGATAACCTTCAAGAGGAGACTTCAGTGACGCCACTGCTGACCAATTATCACTAGAATGGATGAGGAAAGAAGACTTTCTCACACTTCGCTATCCAAGCACTAAAAACTCTTTGTAAATATTTTCTTCGAACAGTCGAACTCTCTCTCTCTCTCTCTCTCTCTCTCTCTCTCTCTCTCTCTCTCTCTCTCTCTCTCTCTCTCTCTCTCTCTCTTCAGATTTGTTCTCTATTATAGGCTAGAGATTTGAGTTAGTGTCTTGCATTGGATCTCGGGCTTGAGCTTATAAAATCACATCGAGCCCATATAGAATTGCGCCAAAACACACCATCAACTGCTTAGCAAGTAAGAAACTCTTACAAAGAGGACAAAAGTGGGAGACAATATAGAGTGTAGCAGGACCCCACAACAAGTACAGGCGGCACAGTCCAATCACAACAGAGTACAAATGTACCCGTTTTTGTCTTCTAACTCCTCCACTACCAACTTTGAATTTGAATAATCTTTATGCTCTTTTTCTGTACCACCAAGCTTTCCCTCCATTTATTATTTCTTTCCACGCTTCCCTCAAGAGCCAACAACTTCCTTTATCATATTCCCTTTGCCCAATATTTATTTTCATGATGCTATCTTACGCTACATGCATTAGTCTACTACAGTCTTGCCTAGGCTTGTCCCTGCTAACCTTTGATCACACAAAAACACAAATAAATGATGAAAAAGGGAGCACCTATTGTGCTCCACACTAAACACTAATTTAACTAAAAAATTCAATAAATTAAATAAAAAAACATTTAAAATACTTAAAATATTAAAACACAAAGCAATGTATTAACTCACAAAGGCTGAATACTTAACAGACTACTAGAGTCACGACAGGACTTGTCTATAACATAAGATCAATGCTCAAAATACTCCTCAAGTCCTCGTTACCTATATTGTTAAATTCCCACATAGAATTTTTCTCTAAGTTTTACTTTAGAAAGATTATCCTAAGGGGGATTTTACTCAGCTTGCTCTTATGTCTTTATTATGTTTTTTTACACACACAATTAACAAAACAAAAGGGATAACTAAAAACTGCAAGCAACCAACAACAGAAACATAAAAGTAGTATTATCAAAAGGCTGAAAACAGCCACCACAAAGCAACATTAAAAACAACAAACATGATTATGATATGATTTGATAAGGTGATTGGAAGAAGAGTCGAGTTACGACTCTAGCCACCACTCCTCTAAACTTAAAGTAAGGACAATATCCTAATTGTTCAGTAGAAAGGATGAGGCGCACCTCTGTTCTCTTACTTACCAGCTAGGCACGAAGCCTACTGCTCTTTCAGGAACGCATAACATCTTGCTTAATCTTGTTCCTAGCCTCCTTCTGGGCAGGCTCTGAAAGAGTTGGTTTCACAACAGTAGTATTAACTTGAGTCTTTATTAGAGGTGATTTGGGCTTGGTTGGAGTCTTGGATGGAGAAGGCCTCTTAGCAATCTTTGTGGTTGGGCTTGGAGTGTTGGCCTTTGCAGGCCCTTTAGCCTTCTTAGGGGTGACCACTAGGGTCAGATCAATGTTCATCTCATTAAGAGTCTCTTCATATTGTTTCAATTCTTCCGAACCATCTGAGGATTCCCCTCCTTCCTCACCTCCATCTTCTCCAGCCTTCTCATTTAGACCTTTTTCTGCCTTTTCTTCCACCACAACCTCATTTTTAGTCTGATTATTGTCTTCCTCCTCTTCCTCCTTAGAGTCATCCTTAGTCACGACATGGGTTTCCTCCATCTTTATTTTATCAATCACAATACCTGAAAAATAGACTATCTAAAACACAAAAGTTAAACTAGGCTGCCTCCCAATAACGTTATTTTATAGTCTTTTAGCCCGACTAAAGAAGAATTCAAACAAAATCACTTAAAAGCATGGTGGTCCTTGTGTTGTTTGAGGATTAACCATGATAAATCTTCACTCTTTGGCCATTTACTTTAAATGTTTCACCTATTTTTTCATTCAATAAATCTACTACCCCGTGAGGATAAATCTTAATGAGTTTAAATGGCCCAAACCATTTAGATTTCAACTTCCCAGGGAAAAGCTTTAATCTAGAATTGAACTAGAGAACAAGTTGTCCTTCAACTAACTCCCTCTTTAGACACTTCCTGTCGTGCCACCTCTTAGTCTTTTCTTTGTACAAATCAACATTCTCATGAAAGAATAACCTATGCTCCTCAAGCTCATTTATTTGGACCATTCTAGCTTGGCCATTCTCGAGTAAATCAAAATTGAGGGTTTTGATTGCCCAAAAAGCCTTATGCTCTAGCTCAATAGGCAAGTGACATACCTTCTCATAGACTAGTATGTATAGAGACATGCCTAAGGGAGTCTTAAAAGCTGTTTTATATGCCCATAAGGCATAATCCAAATGTCTAGACCAATCATTCCTTGAGGGGTTAACAACCTTTTCTAAAATTCTCATTATTTTCCTATTTGAAATTTCAGGTTGCCCACTATATTATGGGTGGGAGGCCGTAGCAAACTTGTGTTTCACTTCATATTTTGCCATCAAGTTTTCAAAGATTTTATTGCAAAAATGAGTTCCTCCATCACTAATGGTCACTCTAGGGGTGCCATGTCTAGAAAAAATATTTTTCACCAAAAATTTGGTTACCACCCTAGCATCATTAGTGGGAGTTGCTACCGCCTCTATCCATTTAGAGACATAATCCATAGCTACCAATATGTATAGATTGTCAAAAGATTCAGGAAATGACCTCATGAAGTCAATGCCCCGTACATAAAAAATTTCAATTTCTAAGATGTTGGTAAGAGGCATTTCTTGCATCATGGAGATATTTCCCACTCTTTGACATCTATCACATTTTCTCACCAGATTATGAGCATCTTTAAAAAGACAGGGCCATAAATAACCTGACTGTAGAACTTTGGATGCAGTTATGGTTCCTACAAAATGTCCTCCATAAGGAGCTTCATGACAGGAAGACAAGATCTGTCGTGCCTCTGGTTGATCTACACATCTTCTTAGCAATTGATCAACACACCTTTTGTAGAGAAAAGGTTCACCCAAAAGTAAATTCTGGTCATGTGAAAGAACATTTTCCTTTGTTGAGAGTTGAACTCATGTGGGACAAACCTAATGACCAATTAGTTGACAATATCAACATACTGTGGAGTCACGTCAGTAATTATCATTAACAGCTTTTCATCAGGGAATGTCTCCTGAATTTCTCCATCACTTCTATCTCGCACCTACTCTGGAAGCCTTCACAAATGGTCAGCTACCAAGTTCTCAACTCCTTTTTTGTCTCTGATTTCTAGATAAAACTATTGCAATAAGAGTACCCATATGACAAGACTTGACTTGGCATCCTTCTTAGAAATTAGGTATTTGATGGTAGCATGATTCGTGTAGACAATCACCTTGGTACCTACCAAGTAGGATATGAATTTATCAAAGGAAAACACTGTAAGAACAAGATTTGGTTCTGCAATATCATCTCTGAGTTTTGATGATAACAAATGAGTATGTTGTATGAATAATTTTGATACTCTAATGTTTGTTATTGTTGAGTACTTAACAAACAGGTTCCACTTTTGATGAATGGCGTGGCCAAGACATTAAAAGAGAATTGATTCCACTTCTACACTATACAAGTTTTGTTTAATAGTAGCAAGACACTCCAGAAGACTCTGAAGTGTAAGCTCTGATGTTGTTCTAAAGAAACCAGTCAGAAGATCTGAAGACTCAAGTT